CAAAGAGTGGGACAAAGTAGATTCTGTACCCAAGAAGATATGGTTAGAAGAGGCAGAGTTAATGTAAAACACTTCTATTAGGGAGGAAGAGGGAGGGGGGAGGGAAGGGAAGTGAGTGTAAGTCCATGGGTAGTTGACGTTTGATGTAGACCCTTGTGTTTATCCGACGGTTAAAATATTCTGCGCCTTCACAATCACCAGCACTTGTGCTTTCGCTTCCCCCGTCACCTCAATCTCTTTTGTCTCTTTCAGCTCTGTATGTGTTGCTCCATTTCTTCCATCACACTGTCCTGTCATGCGTCCGATTTGTAAAAACCACGTGTCACCTCTCGGTCAATACCCCATATGTGGCACTGGTGGGGTTGAATGCCTGAGTAACCACGAAGGCGAAAGGCAACACATGCAATGCAGCAAAATGGCGACACGTCGTTTTGGTTGACTATCGAAGGAGAGAATACATGACTGGGGACATCCTTAGCATATTGACTGTCCATTGAGAGTGTTCGCTGGCGGCTCTCACAAGCGCAGAACGAGGGCTTTGCCTTCTACTTCAGCTGATGCTGCTTTCATTTTGCCGCTGCGCTTGACACATCTGCAGATGTGACTTGCGAGTCTGGCGACACGGGAGAAGAGTCATCTCCATCTGACGTGACACTTTATAAAAGGGGATAGCGAAAGACGTCATAGAAGGGCAAGGGGAGAATTGGATTTGGGTTTGGAGAAGGTGGAGTTGACCGAGACGTAATGGAGGCAGAGGGCCGAGGTATTCTGGTGTCACTAAATCGCGAGAAACAGATTAAAGCAAACGAGAAAAAGTGCGTAAAATGCAATATAGGAGCAGGAATGGGGCAAGCATGGTAGGGCATAATACGAGTCGGCTCTTGAGAGCATTAATAGTAGTAGGAAGAGAAGGAGACACTCACTGAATAGACATTGAATTGAGGCATGCTCCATGGTTTCCATGACGTCAACAGATCTCTTTGCCATATATGCACATCGCTCCTTAAAATCTACGAGAGACACGAAAAAGGCCTCAGTGTACGTGGCCTGAGGTTCTATCGAGTCGATGTGGTATGATAAATGAGGCAGTAGTCGGATCGCCCTGAATGGTCGAGCAAGGTGGCAGCTATGACGTATGCATGATAGAGCAGATAATATTGCAACAAAGTCATCAGGACTATTTTTACACTTCCTCGACACATCACAAGAGGATGGTTTGGTAAAAAGTTGCAGCACCTGTAAAATTCTTTTGCTACATAACTGACTTTACATAAAAGTAGTTTCCCACGTTAGGGAAATTTAGCGAGAACCTCCTTGAAACAATTAGCTGCCTCTTAACTGGGACCAAGTTTCTTCCAGACAAATGACAGAGATTACCAAAAAACTCCAGACAAAGCATTAGGTGTCTAAATACACTTATCTGCAGGAAATAATTTTCAGACATCAATATTTTGAAAAATTTCTGAAAAACATGGCAAACAGATACGATACGGACTTAACTCTCCATACCTTAGCAAATAATGACTTTTAGCTAAACTATAGCAATTAAAGTATACCACGGTTGGGTTTAACATATTAGTCGTAGGTGCTTAAGCAAACAACAAATAAAAAATAAATTTAGAAGTTGAAAGATGCCATATATGATACAAAGGAATGCGCATTCGTAAAGGATATAAAAATTCCTCGAATAAGGCAGCAGCACGAAAAGGGGACAGGGTTACCTTTGCGGCTGCCGAATTGCTTGCAGTCGAGAGGCCAACTAATCGTGCATTTCACAGACTGCAAGAGGCAAAGTCAGCTCCATTAGGCACTGAGGAGGTCAAGCAGTAACTAATAGATTTGCCCACAATGAGAGAAAAAGCGTGAAGTGAGGCACAATTCGTAGGCCTTGTACTCTACCGAGCAAGTAAAGGAGTACACAAATAATTACTTATATTTAGGAAGGAACAGAAGCGAAGCATCCACAGAAAGACTGATAAGTTTGTGCAACGAGAAAAACTATGCGAGCTGCCTCATAACAGCGCCGGAACAAAAGCTCTAATGACTAATGATTCCTGCACCAAAGGAATGAAAAATAGAGCGCCACACTTCCTTGGTTAAACGTCCCGCTCAACATTTGACATCAACTTTCAACTCTATACTGTTTACTGCCTTATGATACACTGCCCCAAGGGAGCACTGCGGAATGATGGTCTCTTCCCAGGCACACTTATATGTACGTAGATGGATGGATAGATACCCACTGAAATTTGGGCGACCAGGTCTACTGATAGTGAATGCTCCTGCAAACGTGCAGACACAAGCAAACACTTCCTATTCATTCGATTGCAGGGGTCGACATTGGACGCTTTCGGGGTTGGATGTCCTTGATCGGTGGGAGGTGAGCAGATTGCAGTGAGACGGGCACACGCCAGTGTCTAGAATGTGTGCAAGATTCCACGTCCAGCCAAACGCACCACAACGCCGAACCAGCGTAGTAAAGACTAGTACCATGAAACTGTATCCCATCTTTATGTACACACACGCATGCATATGTGTACGAAGTCTACGAGCCAATCAGTGTCACGAATCGGACCGGTGAGGCGCAGCCCTCTGTGCCTATCACCTTGCCAGGGCCAAAAAAAGCTACCAAAGTCACCAAAATCCGCGATGATCTAGCAGTTGCCAAATTACTGCGACTGACACACGGGCAATGATCACGGTTTACCTCTGTTCATAGCGCCGTGACGCCAGGGCAGGGCAAAGAGTCACCGAAACCCACAATTATGTAGTAGCTGCCGAGCCACCGCGAATATAATAGATGCACAAATTATTCCATGGCAATGAATGTGCCTCCAAGGCACACTCGACAATCAAATATCAGGTTCTCGGTAAAAAATATCCCACAGATTTAGCTCTAACGGCAAATATTTCCAAAGAGAGAGTGAAAAACTAGAATTCCACATGCCTGCTAGTAAAGGTGGGACACAAGCCTCCGTCCATGCCTCATTTGTCCCATTTCAGCTTTTACCGCATTAATGTTAGAGAGAGCTGCCTTACACACGTACTGAGGAAAACCAGCACGATTTCTAGTATTTCTCAATTCCGGCACCAAAGGAATAGAAAATAAACACTAAGCTTCCCTAGTTCTACCTCCTTCTCAGCATTTGACGTTAAGTGTCAACTCTACACCGCCTACTGCTTTACAAATGAAGCACTACCCTAAAGAAGCAATGTGGAGTGATGCTGCCTATCTGGATACATTGATAGGTGCGTTGATGGATGGATGAATACACATAGACAGGACGCGTGGACAAGTAACCTTGCTAAAGCACGGTGCAATTAAGGCCATCCAGCCTCATATCAAGGAGTGATTTTTTTACCAAGGCAAAAAAAATTAACAGCACAGATTGTGAGTAATTTTACGATGAGTATTCATTGCTTCCTCAATTCTCATGCATGGAAGGTCTGGAGGGGATCCCAATCTGCTTGAAGAGAGCTCTTTAACTGGTCCGTGACCAGATTCTATAAATCAAGATTCAATGAATGACATCTCCCATTCAACCAAAAATGTTCGCATCGCCATGAAGGCAGAACGCGTCTGAACACACGAGGATAATGATGCGCTTTTCCAAAAAAACATGGCGGTACAAGAGCCTATTTAGTTCCTCGTAACATGAGTAAACACACCTTTCCAACATACTACGTAAAGCGATGCAACAGAGAAGAGAGATTGCTTAATTCTCGCACAAAAAGAAGCCAAATTTATGACCTGAGAGTCCACACACCGTAAATCTGACAAGCTTTAATTTATTTAAGATAAAGTAAACACATTCTTGCACCGGGGAAACATTCAATGCATGTAAAATTAGTAGGTTTCAATGAAAGACTCAAAACTTGAGTTAAGATAAAATGAATAAACGCACCTGCTGGACATTGGCGACCCGCCTTCCAGGGTGTGTTCGACTTCTTAAGAAAGTAGTCTCACAAGTGCTGCATGGCGCAGTCGAGACTGACGAAACGCTCCACCCTCAGACCGCCAATATCCGCGAATACGCGACCTCAGGCACGGTAAACCCAGAGCCAGCTCAGCACCTTGCTGGAGTTGGAGTCCTAAAATATTACGACTTTGGGAGTGATTGTTACGATTGAGGAGCTGTCGTTAGATAATCGCGCCTACTTATGTTTGGTACAATGTTGGATACATTAATTAGCCGAATGCACAAATACTGCAAATCTAAGCAACACAGTTATCGCCGACTTTCAGGAAGGGGAAGTAAGGAAGGGAGGGAGTGAAGGGATACTGACTTGCAGCAAGAGTTGGGGCAGAGTACTAGGTTAACCAAACCAAGGACGGTGGAGAGCGCATGACTGAGGATCGCGAATGACGGTGGCGCGGTCCTCGACGCCCAAGGCGGGACCCACCATGGCACTGCCCTTCACGCACATCTTCTGCAATACATCTCTACCGCCTTCCACCGCCGTCTCCACCTCACCTCACCTCTCCGCCTCCGACTACTGACTACATTTGTTGAGCTGCCAAAAAGAAGCAAGTAAGTGAATTGGTAGTGACAACACCAGAGTGTGGATATGCGCCCTTTAAAGTTAGATAATGAACCTCACTGCCGGATCAAAAATCAGGGGGGGGGCAATAAATTAGAAACAAAATCATGAAGGACCTAGTTTGACCAAATGATGAATTCCACCCATGCCTGCAACAAAAGGATAATAGGGAAAATTAATATTCATCCTGACGACTATCACTTCTCAATGTTGCAAGTATAATGAAAAAGAACGAAGCATACGGGAACCGAAAAACACTCACATATAGGGGCCTAAAAAGCAAAGAATTGAACAGAAAAACCGTTATTTCAAAGCCACTACGAACAAGTTAAAATGCCTATGAAATCTTGTCTGAGGGTAGAAAAGGAACGCAGACAACGCCAAAAACGGAAAAGGTTACTCACAGAAGTCGACGCTGATTCAGTAGAGTTTCTTCCGGTGACCAACGCAGCCTAGGTGACTAACAGCAGAATGCTCCTGGTAGAGGCGGCTTTGGCTAGAGATCCTATGAGAATCAGGTTGCAGGTTACCAAAAGCATTCCACAGCTTCTTGCACACCTCGCCAATTAGCTTTTCGACTTTACAGGCAACAGGACTGTCACCGACAAGCCCTGGGTTTTACCCGTTAGGACAACGGGTCAAGCAATGTTCCATTAAGCGTTCGCAGTTGATTTCCTGAACGCACCAATAAAGAGGTCGATTACGCACTTTCGGTCACATAAAAATCCTATCTACCGATAAACAATAGTTAACACAGCATTAAAGCAATTACCCGTTATAAGCAGGCATTCCAGATTCTCGTAGTTCCGAAAGTTCTCTGAAAGCCAAGCATTTCCGTTCCCCAACATGTCTAGGTAATGAAGACTGCAAGTTGATGACAGAAACCACTTCTGACGAATGCGAGTCAAGTGCGAATGCAGTAGAGTCATGTCAACTGGTCACACCCAGTTATTACCCGAGCTCAACATAGACATATTTGTCAAGTGCAGAACACGATTTTCAAATCTTGGAGGCGCAATATGCAGACTCCCAAGGTTAGGCAGAAGTATTGAAAAACAGGCTTGATTCGTCTTAATCGCTCGCCTCCTTCAAACAACGTTTTTGATAAAAAAAATGCTTTGATGAGCACGCCAAGTTCAAAACACAATTACCGAAACACAACTTCGTCCAATGCGCGGCATTGAGAAATTTTGGTCCATCAATGTAGTCAAACGCAATTTTTTATATTTAGGTTTTTAAAAAGCATTGAACACAAAAAAAGGCAGTTGATGAGGCACCAGCAATGCACTTAATTAGATGAAATATAGCAGGAAGGTGATGTGTTTTATAGCCAATTGTTTATATTTTTTATCACTTGCAATAAGGTTTCCAGTCTTGTAATATATTGAAAATTGTTTTCAAAGCACATTTGTCATAAACAAGCCATTAATTAAAGTCTTTTAGAGGCTCAGTGACATCGTCACTACAGGCAATGACCAAATTTTTTAATCATGGAAACAAAATGACAATTAGTAACTTAGTGCTTATTTCTTAATATATTCTTAGTAAGCACAGAGCCGGCAGCTCGTAGTGCGTTTTTTATTTTGATTTTAAGTGTGTACAATTCTAAACAAGAAACCGCGTACCTTATTGCTCATCGTGGTTCTAGGAAGAAGAAGATATAACATAACTAACGCTCGAACAGAATATATACACTTGATACATAAAAGGCATTTAGGCTACTAGCAAAGTCTGAAGGCCAGCCTACCCGACTTGGCATTATAGCCGAATCAAAAGTGCCTCTTCACCAAAACCGGGAGCTAAACAACTAACATATTGCATCACAAGTAATATGTGGCTTAAGTTGCATTATTTGGGTTCTTTCGTTATCTTTGTTGGTGAAATTTTCATGCATATGAAAGACCTCGTACTTCGATTTGTTATTAAATTTCACGCCACATTAAAAGTTCAGTGGTTTGTGTTGTTTTTGAACTTCACTTAGTGTCACGTAAAATAGTCAGTCTCCCACTATTCTTGATTGAGGTTGCATTGGAGGTATTCAGTTTAAAGCGGACAACAATCGATTGGCTACTATTTGTAGCAGTACCTCATCTTTTTTGCAATTGGTATAATTCACCTAGTAGAGAGTTAAAAGCTCTACTGCACTAATTGCATAGGTGGCTTTTCCTAAGAGACATTTTCCATGACCTCTACATAAATGTGCGCCCCGGTAAATATGATAACTTGATGCCAAGTAGTGCCAAATTCGTAGGAGTAGCTGAATATACTTAATGACTCCACGCCTAGCTTGCTTCTCTGCATTTTAGTATCTTCAGTTTATTCGACATACATATTTGAGAGACTCGAAGTGGGTTTTAATGCCACTGCAGTACACCTAGGCCTATTTCGGCAAATCGCACTACTTTATTCTTTTCTAGCAGAAAAGTAGCGAATTCCAACGACGCTAAAACTAGCCATTAATTGGTTGTTCACGGCCTGTCACTTCAAGCAAGTAAGAAAAGTATCCTGTAGCTCTTTGGTGGATCTGGTTAAATTACAAACACAAGGATAGACCAAACCATGTGCAAAGCCTTCGTCGATTTCTCTACTGCAGCAGCGCTCCAAATGGCAATCGCCGCAGCTCCTCCCCGCCTCAATGGTGTGAGCCTCCGTGTATCACTGCCTGGTGATTATGAATGGAGGTGCGTAATTATTTGGTGTTTTGCTTTTACCTTCCAAATGATCTGCTGTTTGCAGTGAGATAATGCTGTTTGATTTTGTTCAAGGGCATTTCACCTGAAAATTAGGTGTAAAGCCTGGTGTCCGAGTAATATTTTTTGGTAAAGTTGAACCCTTACTTGTGCCACGAGACTGGAATAAACTTAATCAGGTAGTTGATGTACGAAGGCCTTGTTTCTTTTAGGCTTACGTGTTTGTGTGACCCAGATGTTTTGACATCTCCTGCTCCCACATATTTGAGTAGTTGTTTGGTCTTTTAGAAGACGAATAGCTAATATTTCA